TCACAGAAATTTAACTTTAAAGCACAACATTCAATAATATTCCCATTACAAAACATAGTATTTCCTTTACGAATGGTTAATCCTTGATAATAAAACCATATGTTAAATTGAAAAAGTTTCTCCAATGATGTCAGTTCATGGCTAAGTTGTCAGTATGATTTATAAAATACATTTGAGGTGGATAAGTAACTTTAATGTTGGTATGAAGTGCCTGAAAACTAAAAAGACAGTGAGATATCCAGAGATTTCTTATAGCAAAGAGAAACATATTTATTTTGTTATTTCTCCACTTTTCTAAGTTACTACCCAAAATTAATATTTTTTGCTAATTTTTACTTTTTCCTGGATGGCATGTTTCACTTATCACTGTACATAATACATAAGAAAACATTTTGTACATCAGACTGGAAATTTTTAGAATCATGCTTCTAGATTAGGTTTGTCTTTAGTGTAATAAAACACAACACTGAAAGTTAGTTTAATGGTGTCATTGAGAGCAGTGCTGTAGTATACAAGTGAATTTCTTAACTTGCAGGATGGCTTTTTTTTACTGTAAAAGTAAAATTTGTAACTTATATTAATACAGCATAACTTTTATATGACAAACTCAAAATTCTTTCCTATAAGGAAGAGGAAACTATTCAACTTAATTTTCATTTGGAAAACAAAAAGATGCTGTATAGCCCTACACTTTTGTAATAAATAAATTTAAGGTAATTTGTATCATTACTCTGTTTTCTTATAATAGTGGGTCTTACCAAGTTAAATATGTTGAATATTCTAAGGCACAAAGATTCCATAGAGATTAAGATATGTCATCAGTTTGAATTCTAGTTGTTTTGTCAAACAATAATGTAACTGTGTTTGCCATCTAAGGTTTCTGGACTTGGCTTGTTACACAATGTCCTCAAATTCAGATACTAAAACAGAAGTAAAAAAGTTGCCAGTCTTGATATTTTCTTCAACATCAGTTATAAATACTATACCATAGGTTTTATATGCAGGGTATAAAAATTTAAATAGCACTATAAATAAAATGCTATGTTTGTCAGAACTGGGTTTTTTTTGTTGATAAGCACAAAACTACACAATTGGATATCTTTTCTATGCTCATCATGGATATCAAACCCCAATTTTTAATGTGCTAACCCTTCAGACTTACCACTTACCTGAAATCCAGATGTGGTTATTTTTATGCTATTTTACAATTACAATTTTTAAACAATAAAATATAAAAATATTGCACAAGAGAAAGAGATAGGATATTGTTAACATAAATATTACAAGTTAGAGAAATGATATTGTTATATAACAAATATTACTAGAGACAGAGAAGTGATATTGTTATATAACAAATATTACTAGACATAGAAGTGATATTGTTAATATAACAAATATTATTAGAGACAGAGAGAAGTGATATTGTTAATATAACAAATATTACTAGTGAGAGAAGTGATAATGTTATATAACAAATATTATTAGAGACAGAGAAGTGATATTGTTAACATAACAAATATTATTAGAGACAGAGAGAAGTGATATTGTTAACATAACAAATATTATTAGAGACAGAGAGAAGTGATATTGTTAACATAACAAATAGTATTAGAGACAGAGAGAAGTGATATTGTTAACATAACAAATATTACTAGAGAGAGAAGTGATATTGTTAATATAACAAATATTACTAGAGAGAAGTGATATTGTTAACATAACAAATATTATTAGAGACAGAGAAGTTATATTGTTATATAACAAATATTACTAGACATAGAAGTGATATTGTTAATATAACAAATATTATTAGAGACAGAGAGAAGTGATATTGTTAATATAACAAATATTACTAGTGAGAGAAGTGATATTGTTAACATAACAAATATTGTTAGAGACAGAGAGAAGTGATATTGTTAATATAACAAATATTATTAGAGACAGAGAGAAGTGATATTGTTAACATAACAAATATTATTAGAGACAGAGAAGTGATAATGTTAATATGACAAATATTACTAGAGAGAGAAGTGACATTGTTAGTATTACAAATGTTACAAGATAGAGAAGCGATATTGTTAATATAACAAATATTACTAGTGAGAGAAGTGATATTGTTAACATAACAAATATTATTAGAGACAGAGAAGTTATAATGTTAATATGACAAATATTACAAGAGAGAGAGAGAGAAGTGATAATGTTAATATGAGAAATATTACTTGAGAGAGAAGTGATATTGTTAATATAACAAATATTACTAGAGAGAGAGGTGTTATTGTTAATCAATTTTCTTCACTTATTTAATAATTTGCTTATTATGTACAAATGCTACTCAAGAAAGATCTTAACTTTTTGAATCATAATATCTGTGATAATATTAAACTGTTATAAAGGATTTTATTAATATTCGAAGTGTACTGTTTAAATTGTTGTCAATATATTTCTTGAAATGCATAGTCTACATTGCCAATTTTAAAAGCTAAAACTACTTTTTTTTTCTCTAAGTTAACTTTAATTCACAATACTGTATAATAACAAATACTGATACAACATTCCACAGTTTCAGATGATATTACTGTAAGTTTTGATTCTTTGACATTAAGTGGATGAATCTCGTTTTTTTTCATTCTTTGATAAGTGATTCATGTTCTGTACCAGAAAAACAAATGTACAATTCAGTATACATTTAGATACAACACAATATTGTTAAGGATTCTGAAAGTTTCTAGTTAGTATCCAGATGATGTCCTGTAATAAAAAAAAGCATTTCAGATAACACATAGGTTGCATGAGCTAGCTCATGAACATTAAATTTCCCATGAGCATAATTTGAAGCAGAAAAGCCTGAGGTTTTTATTGTTTTTCTAGCTAAAAAATTGCTTAAAACATTGAATTTAAAAAAAAAAGGATATTAAAAAAGTTTGCTACATGTATATGACTGGTCAGTGATAAGACAAAGCGTAGTAGTACTTAGTATTTAAGGATTGGCTGAGAAAAAATGGCTGCCATATTCACTCTATGATGCTTACAAATAACTGCTAAAGTTGAGTTATAACCTTATCTGAGCACCTAATTGCCATTATCGAGTGCTTCAAAGCTTGTAAAACAGTAATATAGGGAAAAAATATTGCTCAATAAAAAAGCTATGTATGACTGGCTACTGAACTAGAAAAAAGGAACCGAACAAGATAGGGATGGAACTGGACATATCACTTGATCTAGCTAATGATCACTTAAAATACTAAGCCATCTCAACTCTACACAAAGAATAAAATTTCTAAATTACTGGCTTCCCCACTCTGTCTATCAAAAGCTTAGTAATTGAACAGAATCTCAGCTTTCATTTAGTTAACCTTAGAATACTACTTTTATGACTATTTTACAATCATGTAACATTTTACAAATGGAAATTCTGGTTCTATTTATTTTGCCAGTGAGGAAACCAGTAATGCAAGGATTTTATTCTCCATGTAAAGTTGAGACAGCTTAGCTTGCTATGTGATCATCAGCCAGATCAAGTGATATGTCCACTTCCATCCTTATCTTGTTTGGTTCCTTTTTCAAGTTTTGTAGTCAGCTCTATATAGCTTTTTTATTTAGTAACAAATTTCTTTCTTAATACTTGTTTGTTTACTTTTTTTATGAGATGGCATATGTGGATTATTAGGTTATAGAATGTATTCTAAAACTTTACAAATTTTGCATAGAATAATAAAAAACAGGTAGTCAATGATAAAATTACAGTTACTGCTAGAACTAGTTAGGTGCTAGGCCTGTTGAAGAAAGATGATGATGAACAAAAATAAGAAATCTCCGTTTTGGCTGTTCACGTGTTTTTGAGTCTGGGATGCTATGGATAGCTGAAATGCAGCACATACACCAGAGATAGAGTGACTATACCAGGTAGGTATTCATATCTAGTTTCTGATGACCTGTATATGTATTGATTTTTGTTTTTTAATTCTTCACTTCATACATAATATAGGGGCTGGCTCCCTCAAGACACTGATTGTACACTGTACAAAGCATTGAGTATTCTACATATTACAATCATCCAATGTTCATTTCTTATTTCGAATTGCTAGTGAGAGGTTGACTGACAAGATTAAAAATTGTATGTTCTAAAATTGATTTAATTCAGCTATGTAGAATTGTTAGGGCTAATACTGAAGGTATATTTGAGAGGTGGACTGACAATATTAAAGGTTGTATGTTCTAAAATTGAGTTAATTCAGCTATGTAAAATTGTTAGGGCTAATACTGAAGGTATATTTGAGAGGTGGGCTGACAATATTAAAGATTGTATGTTCTAAAATTGATTTAATTCAGCTATGTAAAATTGTTAGGGCTAATACTGAAGGTATATTTGAGAGGTGGACTGACAATATTAAAGGTTGTATGTTCTAAAATTGAGTTAATTCAGCTATGTAAAATTGTTAGGGCTAATATTGAAGGTATATTTGAGAGCTGGTTGTTTTGACTTTGGAACTCATCAGGACTTACTCTTTAGTAAAACTACAACTCTTTGGAAGAGATTTACCAATCAATATAGTGTGTTATTTGAATATACTCAGAATTATGATGTACACACATACTAATGCAAGAGATCACATTTAGCTTAGGTGGATTGTTCTGATAGATTAGATTTGTATCATGTATGCTGCTTACTTGAATGCATTCATACTTATAATACACATATATTTAAACAGATCTGAAAGGTTAGCTCACGTGGATTAGATTTATGTGGTGTTTGTTTAACTTCATTCACTTATAATAGATTATACATAGAGACATGATGAGATACATTTAGTTTAAGTTGTTTGTGTTGGTGGATTAGATTGATATGGTGTGTGCTGTTTATTGGAATTCATTCAGAGTTATAACATGATTGTATGTATATGTATAATATGGGAGAAATTACACTTAGCTTAAGTTGCTTGTCAGGTATAACATGAACATCAATTTCTAACCATATAATTACAAAGAAAAAGAAACGTTACTTTTCGGGCTACAATAATTTAATCCATCAAAATCTGTTAAAATGTTCCAGTTAACTTGATTCCCTACCTTAAAATTATTATTAACGTGGAGATTGTTATAATCATCACTAATCATAAATATTTTTACATTAAAGCTTTGTAAGTACTGTTTAACAAAATTGAACTTTTCTGTCACTAATACGACTATTTTGTTTTATTGAAAAATCTTTTTTTTGTATATATTTGTTATTCAATTTAATTGCATCTGTTTAAAATAGTACTAAAGAACTGAAAAATATATTCCCAAAAGTACCTGACTTTATATAGAAGTTTACTAAGTAAACATAAAAACTTACTATCTTGTTCCGAGGCAAAACTCTACAACTTGCAAAGTAAAGCAAATATGAACACTAGTTGATACATATATACTTTAGAGCACAGAAAATATTAGTATTAACTAAACAATATCTAGTTTTATCAAATCATTAAACTGCTCAAATAAAAAGCATGTACTTGTTTTTACAAGAATTATCATTGAAAAATTAAACTAAAGACAAGTTTTTGTCATTATATAAATTACTCATTTTTGAGCAGAACTCTCTGCAATCTGTGCAAGCTTAGCAAGCATTTTATCTTGTTTTTCCTTCTTCCTGGCTTCCTTCTCTGCTTTCTTCTCTTCTTTTTCTTTCTTTTCTAACATTTCCTTAAACTTGGGGTCCTTTGGATCAATATCATATCCTAAAAACTGCCTGACTTCTTCAATCATTCTTTCTTTCTTCTCTTTTTGACCTTGTGCATCTGCTGCTTTTTTAGCTTGTTTTTGATAGAAGTCTTTTTTCAATGCATCAAGCTTAGCAATATTATTTTTAATTTCTTGCTCACGTAACTTTTTCTCTCTTTCTTCTTTTTCTCGTTGATGACGTACTTTACTTAACATATCTTGTAAGGATGGGTGAAACACAGAATCATGCTCCAAAATATCTTTAAGTTCAGCTTTTGTTGGCCACATAATTCCTGGATTCAATCCAGAGCTGCTTCCAAATGCTGCATAATATTTTCTCAAATTCCTTACACTATAATGATAATCTTCATAGAGAATAGGCATTTCCTTCTGAATGTACATTTGTTTTATGCGTGATGGTAACCGCGACTTGTCCCTTTTCAGATCTAATTCAGATTTAATTTCACCATTTTCTGAATATATTTCATCTGATAATAGCGGATTTTGATTTACTCCTTCGTCAGTTGTGTAAGTTCTTAAAAAGTACTTACTTGAAAATGAAATTGTAATGCTTAAAGTTTTCATCAAATGCAAAGGATCTTTGCTAGAAAATAAACCATGCGACGAGAATCGTAGATTCGATGTCAGGCCTACTAAATAAGGTTCGAACACTTTATTACTTTTATTCCATATCGGAATGGATATATTGATCAACAACCTATGAAGATTAGGCCTATACATTATTAGTTCAAAACAGATAAGATGTTTAGAATACACTCCAAGACGTTCTTGAACGCGAAAATACACGATTATATTCGCTACCACAAAATCTACAATACCGCTACGATTACTACAAATTTTTAACCGTTTTATACATACATAGTATTAGTAACCATAAATAATGTTAGAACGCTCCAGAATAGACCATATTTTCTGCGTTCGGCATGCAAAAAGCGGTCTCTATAATTATTAAAGTTTAAATGCTGAAAACAAGCGAAATTTCGTAAAAAAACAAAAAAAGGCCTGAAAATTGATATAAATACAAATTAATTCTAGATGTTTTATTTTTTCTTAATTTGACAATTGCAGCTTGGAATGTTATTTTTGTCCATCTCTGATTTCGATTCGCAATGGACGAATCAAGATCAACATGAAAAAAAACAACAAAAACATATGCAATTAAACTTGTTTTATAACAATTTTTAGATCTCCATTATTTGTTACTATGTTTAAAGCTACTTCTCAGTGAGAATAATCAATTCACTGTAAAACTGAAGCTTAGGCCTATTGCGTTACGATATTTATGAGTGGAACTTGTTATGACAAACATAAAATTTAACTTATATATATGACATCTGATCACGGCCAGAATGGCTTTAAATGCTCATGACAATTTTGGAATAATTTTGCACATCTTTTCTTTTTTTAATTATTGTTTTTACTGTTTCCTACATCATGTTCCCACAGCCATTTATACTGTTACGTCTCCGTTCGTTAGTTAATTTCCCGTAAATTCGTTCCTACGAAACTTAAGCGACACAAGTCCTTTCTTAAATAAAACTGGTATATACTTAATTTCAACAGTCGCTCTATAACAAACGCTGTAATTCTCAACGAACGTCTCACGTGCTAGACTTCAACAATACTCAGTTCAATTACACACACTGTTCCATCACGT